ATTTGAGTGTACATATTCAAGCGATATATATAAGATATAGCAGAACAAGAAATGTACGTAACGTTTTACTTAGGCCTGATTGCACCAACGTGATTTCGATTTTAAGCGAAACTTAAACTGTCTCTGCCTCTGTCTCCTTTTCGGCTTTAAAACGAGATAGATAGAGTTTTAAGTCTCGCTTAAAATTAAAAAGTGTTGGTGCAACCGGGCCTTAATGGCTTATTTAATGTACGTAATTTTTTACTTAATGTATGTAAATATTTTCTTGATATATGTAATATTTTAATTGGACTTAAAAATATGTTTTATCGACATCGATTAAGTTCGGCTGCCTCCCCAGCATCGCCTTAAATCATGGAATTATGTAAGAAAATCGACTAGAAAGAACAGACCCCACGTTGATCCAATATTGAGGATTTCTTAATAATAATCTGTGCGTGATTAAAGTCGACAAACAGGTTGGAGCATTAAGCGGGTGCTAACTAACTCCGCGGCGAAGATCAATCGGTCGATCGGTTATATTCTAAATGCCGCGTGCGAGAAGTTTCTCGCTCGATTCTGAAAATGTCACGTGCCAATCCGCGCGCGAGTGTACCGTCCACGATCATAACGAAATTCCTGAAGTGCCTGCTGGCCGCGCAGCACTCAGGAATGAAAGAAAGAGAGAGAGAGAGAGAGAGACGAATGGCGAAGTTAATCGCCGATCGCTGGCCGGGTGAATTACCGACGGGCGCGAACGTAAATCACCGCGGAATCGTTAATTAGGCGGTAGAACGAACGAGCTTTCTGGAAAATGTCAACGGCTGGGACATCAGGCGAAACGGGACGCGCGCGGTGTTCTCGCCGCGATCTCGGTGACTCTCGCGATTGGGACCTTTCGACACACGCGCGCGATTTCGCTCGCTGCGCGGCGGTCTCGCAATTTGTCGCGATGCCCGACTAGCTAATTTATAATCTCTTCGCTAAGATGGAACTGCGTGTGAGTCGATAGAAATCGCGAAATGGAAAGCCTATTAGCATCGAACATTCTTACAAAATATCCATGTTCGCTATGTATGTAGCGATAAAGTGTGTATAAAGAGTTTAACGTGGAGATTAAATACCGAGATGGTTTCGTCAGCAATTGTATACCGCAGTATTACCTATCGCATGTACGCCTTTATTTTTGTAAACCCCGCGACATTAAAAATTATTAATAATGCCGATATATAATATAACAGAAAAAAGAATGTTAAGAAGGAGCCGAGTTTCACCTCAATATATAAATACATATATAGGAATAATATTTTTTGTAGATCCTTTTAATTCTCTGGATACGATAAAGTTGTTAAAAAGGCATTTTGAGGAACATCTTTAAAAATTGAGCAAGAATATTGAAATTTGGATACGTCACATTTGTGCTCAATTTTCGAAGTGTTTTCCAAACGCTACGAACTTTTTAATAATTTTATCGTACCAAAAAGAGGTCGAAATTTACAAAAAAAAAAACACTCCTTTTACTTACACTTTTTTTAAACAGAAATCGGTCCCTTTTTAACATTCTCCTTTCATAATATAATAATTTAAATTAATAAGAGTTAAATAAATAAGAGTGATATTCTAAACGACTAATTAAATCATATTCTAAATTTTAACTGACAATACTTAAAAACTAACTTAACATTAAAAGACAGAGATATATTACATTATATTACTAGTTTCGACCACAAATTCTGGTCCTCTTCAAAACAGTTAAAAGTTGGAATATATGATTTAATTAGTCGTTTAGAATATCACTCTTATTTATTTATTTGACTTTTACAATGCCATTTTATCATTTTGTATAATATAAAAAAAAAGAGTCCTTTAGTTTTCTTAATTTTGTTGAAATCAATAATTTTTCAAGAATATACCAGCCTTACCTATACATTTAAGAGGGACGCGCCTTCATTGCTCGACACACGAGGATTACGGTGGCGAGCAAACTGGCTGGACAATTCGATCCGGACGTCCTCCTCGGCGGACGCGACGCACTTAATTCGACGGCGCGCGTAGCTCGCTTTTGCTCGAAACATCGAAATTAATGAAGTCGTCCGACCGGGCCGTGGCCTAAGCACAGTAAATTAGAGGTACACGCCAACCATTAGAATACTTAACGAGGACATCACGGTGGGACGCAGCGTGCGCGGGTGTGATGATGAATCACCGCCAGGGATAAACTCGCCGCTCGCGCGCGCCCAAGAATATTAAATTAAGCGTACTTATTGTTAGCCGAAAACCTCATTCGTGTCCCCTTTCTCCTTCTTTCTTTTTTTTTCTTCTTTTTTTTTCATGCGAGAAGAGTCGACTAGCCGGAACCTGAAAGAAATGAGAAATCGCTAGACGGGAGAAGATTGTCGAGCGACAAAAGCGTTCTCTCTTTTTCGCGAGAGTTTCTTCTTTCCTCCTCTTTTCCATCTCTTCGCTTTCCTTCGTCGCAAAAGTGCCCTCGAGAATACCCGAAAGCGCACACCGTCGCGACTGTTTATTATCAGTGTACAAGGCGGAAAGATTCGGCACGACACGACAAAGTGCGCGATTTCAGCAACGATCGATTTGCACTCTTTTTTTTTCTCTCTCTCATTTTCTGCCCCTCCCTCTTATGCGGAGTCCTCTGGGTCAACGTCTCTCTCTTTCTCGCTCTCTCCTACGGAGAGTTGAAATATACAAAATGAAATATGAAATAATGGTTCGTGCCTTGTGGCTGGCTGAAGGCACGGGCGCACCCATATCTACGCCCCCATGCGCCTATGTACCTTTACAAGATTGTACGCATAACTATATATATACGTATGTGCGCATATACATACTTATGTATATATTTGTATACTAAAAAATATATACTAAATTTTAATAAATCATTCGTTTGAATGTTATCGAATAAATATTTACTAAATTATAATGATATATTAATTTGATTTAATAATAATTTCTTTTTATTACACACACTTACAAATAAATAAATATTCTGATAAATATTTATTGAAATGTAGTACATTTTTTTTAGTACATACTTGTACATTTATACACATTTCTATATGTATGTTTAGGTACATAAAATTTGGTGCTGTAGCCCTCCCACATGTACTCTCTCAAACTTTTTAAGACTAAATGTCAATTTGAAGAGTGGAATCTCACTTTAAAGAAACAATTGAGCCGTTCTTTTTCAAGATTGACTCAATTGTCTCTTTAGAGAGTGAGATTCCGCACTCGAAAAGAATTTAGAGAGTACGTACATACGCACGGTATCTGCCTCTTGCGCTCAATTTTTTCGTTCTTGTCGCGAACATCTTACGCTCGTATTAACCCTTATACCTCGCTTAATGATGTTCCGGCCTACTATGTTGGCATATTGAACGCAACTAAGGCAGATTCCAGGCTTGGTCGTCGGACCAAGACCCGCCGCCGCCACCGACCAAGCCCACCTGTAAATACGTATATCCGTATACGTGTATATACGTCGTGTATATACGACGGGAAGAGAGATTTCTATGCTCGTTTTGCACTACATATATCGGGACTATGGAGAAGAGAGAAAGAGAGAGAGATTTTATCCCTCTCTCTCTCTCTCTCTTGCGAGTCGAATTAAGCGCGTCGTTAGCAAAAGGAATCGACCGATTTTATCAAGATTCAGGATATCGAGATGTATACATTGGGCCTCGCCACATTATTGTCCAAAAGCGTAATTTATCGAGGATATTTATACGAACACGCGAAATTTTGTATGTATAATCGTTATACGAGGGTCGTTCAATAAGTCCTTAGAAAAAAGTAAAAAAAAATTTTTTTGGGTAGATTTTTTTTTATTTTTCAATATAATCTCCTTCCAGCTCTATACATTTTTCTAAGTGTTTTTCCAAATTTTTTAAGCCGTCCGAAAAGTAGGATTTCGGAAGCTCCTCAAAATAGGCATTTGTTTGGGCGATGACCACGTTGGACGTAAACCGTTGTCCGCCAAGCCATTTCTTGATGATCTAACTTCAATCGACAGCAAAAATAAAACTACGTGACGGATATGGCTGAAACTCTAACAGCTGACTAGTTAGGAGTGCTGCTTACTGGGAAAAATTCATTTTCGAAATACGGTGGATGTTGTAATAATTGGAACTTTAACTCCATAATTTTGGCCATCGCAACTGCGCAGGTGTGCACCCGTGCATTGTCTTGATGATCTAACTTCAATCGACAGCAAAAATAAAACTACGTGACGGATATAGCTGAAACTCTAACAGCTGACTAGTTAGGAGTGCTGCTTACTGGGAAAAATTCATTTTCAATAATACGACGCCTTCTCTTGGATTTTCTAAGGACTTATTGAACGACCCTCGTATTAAAACGCATGCAATGATGCGACGTATGATCTAAAAGATGACGTATGATTTTCCAATAAACTCATCTTCTAAAGAACAGCGAATAATGAAATTTTATGTTTCTACATATTTGTCTCTCGAGTGTATTTCAATCCATCGAAGATTCCATTGAGATGGTCTTTCTGAGTAAACAATTCTTTTTAATATTTAATACGACACATTACTGTCTGCTTCAATTTAATACTGAAATATCTGTAAATAACAAGCTTAAGCTAATTCATATTTTCTATTAAAAAGATAATTTTACACAAATCACTCCTTTTAATTGAGTTATTTATTATTCATTTCTATTTATAACGTTAACATTAAAGTTTCAGCATTGTTAGTCTGTAAAAGATATCACAATATTTCTTTTAAAAGCTTTTTATGCAAAAATAATGCATCCAAGAATTATAGCGATACATATCCATATATTAATACATATATTCGGTGTATTTTATTATATTACATTATTTGTATTTTGACTGTTTATGCAGCAGAGGGAGTACCGGAACGACGGTAAGGATAATTCTGTACATACCGTGTGTCGCTTAATCATTTTACATATATAATTTCTCTCTCTCTCTCTTTCACGTCTTTTACTTGACGAGGTTTTGTTCGGGCTTCTTATAGGAAAGAAATGGCGAGGACTAACGCCGCAAGACAGGAGGCCCTACGTCGAGGAAGCTGAAAGGCTTCGGGTTATACACATGCAAGAACATCCGAATTACAAGTACAGACCACGACGTAGGAAGCACGCGAAACGGACACCCGGTGCACCGTCCTCGCCTCCCTCGGCGACCAACACCGCGGGCAACAGGTCCAATCCTGCCGGCCCGGCGATTCATCATTCCATGTAAGTCGATACTCTTGACCCGTACTTTCTGCTAATGAAGGTACGGTACGAACTAATACGCGGCAGTTAATTGAGAGATTCCGGCAAGATTTGAACGATGAAGCGCCGACGACGTTATGATTTTCACGTTAACATTGTTCGAGACTTAACAATGTTTAAACGTATTGACCCAGTATCTGCAGAGAATGGATTGAAATGGATTGAAATGGATTCAAATTTTCAGAAATACGAATTCATGAATGTTAAAATGAATCCTTTTCAATCCGAAAATACGTTATTTTCATTCATTTATAGAAATTGCACGGAGCATATCTGTATACTTTTCTATCAAAAAATAATATTAGCTTTTTCAGTGCGTTTGTGACCATAGTGAATACTGTACAATTCAAAATTTTGAATAGAAAACGCAGTTTTTCAATCCAGTTGCATCCAATTGAATCCAGAAAAAGTTTTCGCTGTTTAAAATACGAATTCGAACAGACAAAATGTCCAATCCATTTTAATCCATTCTCGGATGCTGGGGAGTATTTGTCTTAATAAGAAATATAAATACATTTATATATCACAGTTATAATGCAACAGTTATTTATCGTAATCGAAATGCGTTTAAGGTCCAAGATGGACAGTTACCAGGGCATGTCTCAGATCCCATGGGGTGGTCATTCTCCGATCTCATCCCTGTACCATCAACAGCAACAACAGGGTATCCAGGAGTACAAGTCGGAAAATAATTCGCTCTATGGCAGTCCTTATACACCCATCATCCACACTCCGGACATATCTCCAGTGGCCAGTCCCGAACCCGATGGTAAATTTTTTAAATAAAAAAAGTCGACCGGAATAGATTTGTTCAAAATTCTTGTTTTACGTACAAGTTAAAATACAACGTTTTTCTGAATGAATGGTACAATCAGTTAAACGACTTTTTGTAAAAAAGATTAATTAAAAAGGGAATAATGTAAAATGCGATTGAAAAAGCTATGAAATAATTGTACATATATATGTACGAAGTAATTGAGATAATTTGATCTACCAGGTGATGGTGGTCATCTATCGTCCGCTCAAAATCCGGATGCAGAACGAGATCTAATGGAAGGTACTTCGAAGCAACATGGAGACATGTCCGATCAAACGAAACGATATACCTTTATGAGTAGCGACAATCAACTGCACACGGGTCACGCTAGTAACACTAGCATATCATCGTGTCAAAATTCCGGCAGTTACACGGATACCTTAACGTATAAAAAATCCGTACGTATTTCGCATGCCTGAGATTTTTATGTTATGTTACGGCCGTATAATCTACAAATTATCGTTCATCATTAAAACACGAATAATAAAAGTATGTATTTGATTATTTGGTCTCAATTCAATGAAATTAAATGTTCTTTTATATTTAATAAATTTAAACCTGATTTATATAGTCTCTTTACGTCACGCTGAATTAATCCACGTTAGATCAGATCGAACGACACAAACTATTATATTTTTTATCAGGTGGGCTATTTGAATTTTGAGAGACAGTCCACGAGTATAGCCGCAGTGGGCATAGCGAACGGTATGATGGTGTCGTGCAATAAATTACGCTCCGGTTTTGACAACGTTGGCTCCGTCACAGGCACGTTTTATCCACCCGTCGCCTCACCGCACGATCAATCGCTGCAGCATTACAGCGGCACGCAAACGTCTAAGAGCACGACGAATTATTCGATGCAGCCTACCGTCGAGAGCAATTACAATCCGGTCCAATGCGCCAGCAGTCGACAGCAACCCATAGGGATTCGCGGAGCCGCCGAAAGTTGTCCCGGTAACATTGTGTTCTCACTTACGCATATTAAAAGGCTCATAGAACTCGACTAGGAATGAAAGGATCTTAGTGTACAACACGATCGAAAAACGCGATAATATTATCCTTTAAAAAATATATAAGCACGAAAAACAATTTAAAATTAATTGTTTTTACATTTTTTTAAATGAAATCATTTTTTCGAGAAATGAAAGAGTAAAGAAATACTCCAATTTTTCTGAATATCTATTCATAGCAAATATCAGAGGAATTACAGTAGAGTTCTCAATGATAATAGGGGAGAATGTCCTAAATCGGACCGTGTTCCAAATCAGACTTTTTAAATTTAAATAAATACGGTTAAGCAGATTTGTGTGCTATTTATAATGTAAAGTCCTTATAAGACATGTGACAGCAGTTTGGCAGTACTCTGTTATAACGTTCATAGAATAGACGCAAATACGTATTTTCGGCTATCATGCAAAAATTAAAAAAAAAAAAAAATCTTTGTAAATCATTATTTAAAAAATGTTAAAAATTTGAACGATAATTGATTTAAGATAATTAAAGAGTGTAGAATTAAAAAATATTAAGAGTTTTGTGATTACTTTTGCGGTTTATTGTAAAATTGTTCCAATAGTTTAAAAGAACCCAAATCGTACCTCTCTTTGAGTGTCTAAATCGGACCTACACAAAAAACACTAAAAAGTCAGCTAATTCGAGTCGAAGAAAGAAGATTTGCCACAACCTGGTTGTAGTACTGGTGATCGACCGACCAGATCTGAGGAACACTAAATCAATAAAATATGTGTCATTAGACTCAGATTGATGGAATTTTTTATTGATTTTAATTCTAATAATATAAATTGCATTTTTATCCTTAAGTCTTAAATTGGTCGTTTTTACTTGATAAACTTACAATTTTACTTACTAACAAAAAAAATTAATTAAAATTTTTTAAAATTCTATTTAAAAGTCCATAAAAATAGAAGAGGTCCGATTTGGAATTCATAGTTCCAATATATTTTTACATTTTCCATTATAATTCGACATAGGTAAGAGATACGTAAAAATGGTCTGTAGCAAAAATAAAGGAAATTAAATGATCTTTCGAACGGCACCATTGTGGTTTTATGATCGGACTTTATTTACGCCTTATAGAGAACAAAAACTGCAAATAGGTCCGATTTAGACCACTCTCCCCTACAATTTATTTTCTCGATTTCTTTATTACGTTCTTATTCGTGCTTTTAATTTTTTGCAGGCACTGTAACGCACCGATACCAAATGCATCATCAGGAGTATCAGACGGACGCATCCTCTGGTCAGCAGCAACAACACGCGATTCTCGGCGGTCATATCGATCCCGGTATGAGCGTCGAGGATGATCAGCAGCAGACGCTCCAATTGGAAAAATATTTCAAATATTCTCATCCTACGAGCGTAGCGCATTCGAGCCTATCATCGCAAAGTATACTAGACAGTAATCACAACTACGCCAGCGATCTGCGCTACTACGGGGCACCGCCGCAGTCTCAACTGGACATACCGAATTCTCAGTGCATCGTCGACGATCAACAGGGCAACAAGGACGCCCGTTGTCCTAATGTAGCGATCGGTCATACTATGGAGCAGTATCATTCAGGATTGGAGATGTCCAAGTACACGGATCACTCAGTGACGCAACAGCATCAGCAATCACAACCACAGCAGCAGCAGCAACAGCAGAGCATGGAACACGTGCCCAAATCTGACGATGATTTTAGTGTTATACTTGCGGACGTGCGCAAGACTTGCTACAGTAGCTAGTGTTTCTCCTTCTAGTGCACAAATCGATCCACAGATTTCGGATTGGACTGACATGCGAATTTCAGGGACTCATCTTTCGCTCACGATCAGGGAGAACAAGACGCTTGTGCGCACATTTTACGTCATCACGTGGTTAGTGCTACCCGAAATATATCTAAAAGATTTTATTTCATGATAACAGGTACGTTCGTCTTATTAACTTTGGAAACAATACTTTAGCTCCGAGTTTTCATACAAGTAAAAGATATTGTTTGCAACATCTCATTCAATTTTCAACACGGAAAATATTTATAATTGCAGTTTCATTTTTTGTAACTGTCTTTTGTAAGAGTATCTCCTGCGTATAAACACGATCTCTTATGGATTTCAGTACAACACTGAAATCGTATTCATGCAAATCAGTGGCATCCAATTGCATGTCAACAAATTGCAATAAGCGAAATTGCGATAAAAATATGATACGAATATAATAATGCGACACAAACAATAATAAACTGCCTGATATGATCAAGAACGTCATCATATTGTGTTACAATGAATATCGTTTATTAGAATTTTTTTTATAAGATATTAAATTTCCTCGATCTCTCTGATATCTTATCTATATACGGTCTTATATGAACACTTTGGGACCTCAGAAAACGTAATGAGATAGACGGTGCACGGCTAGTGTATAGTATTAAAATTGCAGAGAGAATTGTATACTCATAGATGTCACATTATTTTGTCACATTAGTTTCATTATTAAAGATAATACAGTAGCAGAGATATAATAGCGATAGTGAGAGATATTAAATTTTATTATTATATTAGAAAACTTTCACATGTCAAGAAATGTTTTGCATCAATAAGTCTTCTCGTATCTACTCCGAGAGATAGCGGCATTTACTTTTGGTGCTACACCACTGTGAGCTTTATTGTTCAAAAGCTTATTTTCAATCATTACAAACCATGATTTTATATAATGTATGCTTTTTGTTGTACATAAATTTTTCTTTTTTTGCTCATCAGGGTGGCATTTCTAGCAACTTGTGCAAACTGCACGTCAAGTTTCGTAGAAATGCAAATGATGCAAAATGTCTTCGATGTGTATAGAAATGTGTAAAGAATTTTGGGTAAAACTAAATTATTATTACACTATTATTTTACTATTATTATATTACCTATAGTAATTAACATTATTATTATTATATTATTATTATTATTATTAATGTATCGTACTTAATAGAATCAATTATGAACAAACATTTATCTCTCCCCTATATTTTCTTCAATGAATATCCATCCAAAAAAAAAAACATTTTTGACGCGATTTACATTGTGTTGTATATTGTTTATTTTGACACGTATGTATCATACACGCCTATGGTAGGTGCACACAATATATGTATGAGACACACATACATATACATATTATATTGTAAAATATTATATGTTGTCCATATATATTTACACCTTCATTTATTATAAAATAAATTTTTCATTAAGAAATTTGTCAAAATTGTACGACTTTTTTCGAAAAATGTTGAGGTCTCTCGCGAAGTAGTATATCACGCAAATATATTTTAATCACGCATGTGATTAAAAACGATCGTTCAGAATTTTTTAATCGCTCGATTAAAACACACATGTATGTATATTAATTCTTTTTATTAATTAAATATATATAAAAAATATGTGTATAAGACATAACATTATGTGTAAAGCTGAAATCATATTTAGTGTAGTGATACCCATAAATTTTACATCAAAGGGGGTTGATACAGTAATTAAACATTGACAAGTATTTTTCATTTTTCATTATATAATTATGACGCCTCTTATGTTAGGAGGTCTCATATAGTTATATACAGGGTGTCTTAGACACATCTGTTAATGGCAGATTTCTGAAGTTATTTTGAGATTAAGAATCTAATATCAAAATGTCAAGACTATAAAGTTTTTGAAATAAATTGTAAAGTTGGTAAATTATATGTAAAATTTGCGCGTTCAGGTATAATACAACGCAAAAGTACAACTAAAAGTAAAAGCTAATAGTTGCCTTTTGTTAATATCAATATAAATACAATATTACGCATACAAAAATAAAATAATGACATTTCTAAAATTCTTGATATTTGTTATATTAAAAAAATATTTAGCCTAGACATTATGGTATCAAATTTTCATCTCAAAACGACTTTAGGAATTTGTCATTAGCAGATGGTGCGTTAGATCTGAAAGTTAACTCCGCATATATATAAAGTCTTTTACGAAATAAATATATTTATACATGTATTAAACAACAGGCAAATGAAAAAAACAAACATTAAATAAATTACTATAAATATTTTATAATATCCTCTCTTATAATAGGATATTTTTAAATATCCTTTCTCGTAATCTAAAAACTGTTATTGCACATATCGCCCTTTCTAATCCATTCTAAAGTCACTATTATAATCAAAATGGTCGATACATCAAAGCAAGACTTTAAAATTAATCTCCAAATATATCCGCTCTGAATCTATATATACATACATTTCTACACAAATAGTGCATATTTACGAATTTATTCTGTCACATTTTTATGTATTAATCCCCATTGATTTACATGTAAATGTAATCGAGTTGTACGACGTATTTTTGTTTTACCGTTACAATACGTTTAAACGAAGCTATAATGTCGCTCAATTTATCAATTATTCGTAGCAGAACCAGAATTTTTACTAACAATAAGACAAAGCAGTAAAAAAATTGATTCTTTAAACAATAAAAATTCTTTTCCTTGAAGTTATATTTAGAATTTAACTTCACAAGAATCTAAAATTTTCTATTGTCTTGTGCGTATATATATTATGAAAAAATAAGTAGCAAGTGATTTTGGCATAATTCTAACAATAAATAAAAACAATATTGCTCTTGCCGTAAAATTACATATGCGCCTTAAATACTGTGTTTGACATTTTGAAAGTCTTGAAATTTCCATTAATAATAAATTTAATCTTTAAAATAATTTCAGTCGCGCTAAATCCTGGTTCTGTAATATATTATGAATGCCTCAATTTATCATTATTTCTACGTTTTGTAGCAATCAACTTCTAGAAAGATAATGGATGGCGAGGTCTATTTGAGGAATTGTGCCAAGTATGTTTCCCTCAGTATTAACCATTAACACACTGCATCGTACATCTTCTATTTGCAGTATAACGATTACTAAGACGATACTAAATACTGCTTGATGTTATTTGTAAATGTTTCGTGAACGTTGAATTACAAGCGTAAGTATACGTATATATTTCCTCGCTTTGAACAATCTCTCTTGTATTGTAAATATAATATATGTGTGAGGGATTTCAGAGAGCAATGACTTAACCATTATATGTTAAATGGACAGATTTTGCAGTCTTATTCACAATAATCCGCTAGGTATACTCTTTCATTGAAACGTGCAAAGACATTCGTTACAAATTGCAGATAACGTATCAATATAAATTGTGATAATATTCTTATAAAGTTTTGCGCAGTATTGCAAATGTTACATAAACTGTATAATTTTTGGTTATTAACACGAATTTATATGTCTAGCTCATCGATGTCTGTTATTATTTATGTCTCTGCATATATGAATCTGTATTATGTACAATTATAACATATAATGTATACATACACACACACACAACACACATACACACACACACAATGTGTATAAATGGCAGCTTTACAAATCACGTATAAAATTTTCTACGTACAAATTATTCTGACATTTCTGAAATGTTTGAGAAATGAAATATTTTTGTATTTTGAATGGATTATTTGTAACATGTATTTACAAAAGATATTAAATATAATATAAAGGTAATACAAAAATTACTGGATATATAATTGGAATGACTTCATTTATAGATGTAAATAATATAACGATTAGGAATGTTAGATAAATTCAATGGAAGTAAAAATATCTGCGAGTAATAATCTGGAACATATAATTGTTGATCGCAGGAAATAATTTTTTACGTGTTTCTATCTATTAATAGTTTTGCATTCTTCAAATTTCTCATTGCAGAAAATATAATTTTATAAAAGTAGAATTAAAAACAATATTTATAATAAAATATATCAAAATATTATATTACAAATCTTGGAATGTACGGAAATAAAATTCTGAAGTAAATTGGACGTAAAAATTTATAAATGTTACAAATATCCAATCAGTAAAGCCTACATGATTACATATATTAATCGTGTGTTTGATAAGATCTTGCAAAAAACAATGAAAATTTTTCATATTCAACAATTTTATCTAGATAAGAGAATTAAATAAAAATTCTTTGTTAATTCCTTAACATAAACCCTTTTAAGATATAATCCTTTTGTTATGTTATAAAGTACTTTAAAGATCTGCAGATAAATACAGTATAATCTAATATATGTATAATCTTGCAAAAATACTTTTGCTAGATTTGCTTTGGTTTTAATTACGATATAATGTAGAGTAAAATATATAAAACAAGAAAATGTTATATTTAAAACAATTCATAAAAGAGATTTGTTAATAAATAAAAATTTTTAATTTATACTCACTGAATAAAGTATACAAATTATCTATATATTTAAAGTTAAGTTAATAAAAAAATTTAAAAGATTAATTTATTCATTTTTGTGAAAATTCTATTTTTAATTTTAACTACCTAAAACAATTGAAAACAATTTTTCTGAGATATTTAATTTGTTTTCAGTATTCTTCATTTTTTTATGGCACTGCCATGCTTATAACAAATTGAAATTTTCAATCTATAGTGTCCTTATGTGTCATTCATCCCATAGACAGTTCTGTTTCATTTTAGAATAATATGAGAATATAAAACATTTCTTACACGTTTTTATGCCACATCGATAAGTGCTTGCTACCTTTTTGCCATCAGACTTTCCTTTACAAAATTTTAAACCACATGGATACCAACCAATACACAATTCAAGGGAACACGTACAAGGTGCCCAGAGATTTGACGTGTCGGCACATTTAGAGACCAGTAAAGACCTTGTATCGTTCATACCCGATTGCGGCACATTTGTGAAGTTATATACAGCTGTCATGAGTAACTCTTCCGAAGAGCCTAGTTATAAAACGACTAATATAATTACAATATATAAAATATATGTGATACTAATCATACTTATTTTACAGATATTTACCTGGTCTTTGAATCCATTGTTTTATATCATCATTCCTGGTGTAAGTCGATCCAGCTGCTTCTGCACAAAGTGTGGTAACATGCTTTGAGATTTCCTTGGACTGAGAAACATCCAGAAACAAGTCCATTGTGTAATTGACATGACCTCTGTCCTCCTCCGCTATCCGTACGGTGCCTGGATTCTTTTGACGTAGTTTGGACATTGCGTCAGATGATATAAAATCTACTTTATAAAAATGATTTACGAAACACATGACTTGATATTGATTTTGTCCACGTTCCTCCTCACCAAGTACCAGAGCTTTTATAACTTGCACTTCCTGCAAGAATATTGTTTATTGAAATAAATCACAGAAAATCCATTCTTTTTCATGGATACTTTTTCTTCTGTAAAATAATTACATTTTTGAAATCAATAAGTTGAGTGACTAGTGTACCATCAGAACGCTGGAATTCAAGAGTAATCAGATCTTCCGTAACATTAGACGAGATAGTTTCCAGAAGGATATCACCACCCTGTAAATAAAAGATTTCTCTTTAGTAATGTTAATGTAGAAACGTAATTTTTAAGTTCCAATTATATACTCACATAAAAAAAGAATATTCAGTACAAGTTAAAAAAATCATGTTTCAGGTTAACTTTCAGAAATATATTTATAATGGATATCTAATAATCTACAAACTATTAATTAAGCATATGGCAAAGCTGATAATGGATAATGCAAGAAATTTATAAAAAGTATTCGTCTACCTGATTTTTGACATTTATGAGCAAGTGTGTGGTGCATACACCATAAAAGCACTGCAACACGACGCAGATCGCGAGAAACTCATTGAATCTCCTCATTGTCGCATTGTTAATCACTGTCGCGCGCTCGCCTCCGAACCGACGACGACAAGCTAATGTTGGTGTAGAAAAGAAAATGAGATTACTCCATCGAATATTATAACCTAACACGTCAATCTGCTAGTAGCTGCTCACTCCTTTTTTCCCCTCTCTCCTTCCTTCAACGGTCTACATCTCTGTCTGTCCAAGCCTCGGACCTCGGTTCAATCTATTCAGTGCAGCCAATTCTGCGGTGAAAGAAAAATTCACTGGTTATCTTTCTTAAAAAATTGAAACGAAATTTGAATCTCGCTTAGCCGTGAAGATAGAAGGATGGTAAATGATTTGACTTATCTGAGGGTGGCGTTCCACTTAACGTTCGCAACGATCGCGTCTATTATCTCATCCTTATTTAATATTCGATTACAAGAAGGACAAAAATGATACTCGCGAGCGTTGCGAAATTTTGAGGGTGGCGTTCCACTTAACGTTCGCAACGATCGCGTCTATCATCTCATCCTTATTTAATATTCGATTACAAGAAGGACAAAAATGATACTCGCGAGCGTTGCGAACGTTAAGTGGAACGCACCCTGAGTGTATAATCTGATTCGACGTATATCTCAAATATTTATTACTATTCGTTTTTTGAAATGTTATATAAATATTTTATATATGGAACGTTCTACGTCAACGGGGACAATATAGTGTCAAGGCAAAATTTGTGAAGTCGAAATAAGACGTTCAAGGGCTTAAAATTTTCGTTTTTATATGTAGTTTATAAAGAAAAACGTGACGTTTTTAAAAATTCATATATTGGAGCAGCCGATTTTAAATGAATAAAACATTTATGGAAATTATTAAAGACATTTATTTCATTGATCAAGTAGTCCAAAATTTATTCAATTTCCATGAAAATCGATATTTGTAGGTTTTTCAAATCACTTCAAACGAACAATCCGTAGTCATATTTCCAAAATTCGAATTGACGGATCCGCCATTTTTAATTTGGGAAATCTGATTGTGAATTATTTATGAATGACCCGAAAAACTTTCAGATTTCAATTTTTAGGATTGAATAAATTTTGGACTACTAGATTTCTAAAACAAATTGGAGAGAATAATGAGTAATAGGAATCGGGCGCAGAAGACGTCGCGCAACTAAAAAACACCTATAATAAAAGTGACAAAAACCATTTATTCGAATAACGCTCTTTTATTATGATAGTAGTAGACCAGGAGCCCATAACAGATTTTTTGGGCATCATAGTATTCAGTTGGAAACCTATATTACTTTACTATTACAGTATTAGAGACAACGGGAGACCAATTGGCATTCGTGTACAGTGGATGTATTTGTTAAGGGCAAATTTTCAAATAATTATTTGTATTAAAAAATATTACAGTCTTCAGTCTGAAAGTTGTACCAATCTCTGAAGAAAGAAAAAATACCCGACGGACTATAATTGGCATACTTCTAAAGTGGATGGAAGAGGTCGACATAACGGCGCAAAGTGAGTTCTTAGAACGTATGCTCGGGTATGACAGTATTTGTGTTGCCATTTGGTAAACAATTACATTTTTGCGTAAGTTAATGGTGTGGCGGCTCGCCACCAGAGGTCCAAAAAGGAAAAGACTCAAAAGGAAGAGACTCGCGCCAATTCTCGCATGCACTCGAGATACGTGAAATCTATTCATATAGCACCTCGCTCTAAGACACCTCCAGGCGTCTAAGGCAGGCTCCCACTACAATGCCTTACCGCGATGAGTCCAGTAGTGGGGGCCGGGACGAAACGCAGCAGTGGCTGACAACAATATTTTCACATAAACAACGCGGAGCCAAAATGGAATATACCATTGGCATACTGCTCGGGTGGATGAAAATATCGCTACGTCGATAGTATTATAATAACTTGTAACTTTTGCAGGAGCAAAGATGGGCAGATAAAATGTTTTGCTATTTGTTACGGAATTCCAACTAAAAATTTTGGGCCCAATAATAATTAGTCTTTTGCTATCTTCCTAAATTAAAATTCAACTAAAAGTATAATAACGATTTTCTTGTCATTAATTTGTTAAGAAAAAACGCAAATGTTATTGATTAAAACAATATTCAATGCATTTTTACATATCTATTATAAAATATTATAACAATAACAATAAAAATAAGGGCGAAGTAAGAGTCAAATTAAGATTAAAATTAAAGAAATGCTGACATGTTTAATTTTAAAAATTAAGGATACAAAATTATTAAAAATAAGATTACAAAAGGAACTACTTAAAATCTACTTAAATGAAGATGTAATAGAGATGTAACAAGTTTCGACTCTGAATTGAGTCCTCCTCAGACTTTAAAATATGTTTAATGGATAAAATTGTAATAGAGCTGTATATTGTTAATATACCTATTTCCTATTTCTGTCAACATTTCCTTAATTTTAATCTTATTAATTTGACTCTTACTTCGCCCTTTTTCTTGTTATTGATTATTATTTATTATGAAGAGTCCTTGTTATTTTTCAATTTAATATTTTTAAACGCTAGTTGTAACGATGCGAACAATACACACTGTAGTCCTATTTTGAATTTATATAAAAAAATTCGGAATTTTTGCAGTTAAACATCTAAAATTATGGATAAAATTTCGTAAGAAAATTATCATGATTTACTTACATACTAGATTTATTAAACATTGTATCAACAACAACATTGTTCCTCAACATTTACGCAATATAAACAACTTAAATATTAAATTGTTCAACCATAGGTCTAATATGGTAGATTATTGCACCGTAAAAGATTTTATATTAAAAAAATTTTACACATTGAGCTCAACGACGCATACAGAGAGATTCATCACTATAGAATGATGTTATTCCATGTAGTGAGTGTACTTTCAGGCTGTCTTCCTATAAAAATCTGTGATGAATTCCTTAAAACACAGGAAAATTCATGTAAGTCTTTTTTTGATAAAGAAAGAAAGAGATTAGATTCTAAATTTCGCTGGCTATCTTACAACAAAGAAAAACAAGATCATTCTAATATAAAACCTATACAATATCTTCCTCTTACTTCTCCAAAATCCTCTCTATCTTCAAATACGATTGTCATTTCTCCTAGTGATTTTCCTTTACATAATAGTTCTTCCTTAATCTCCCTTAGAGAAAAATGGTTTATCAATTTATCTTCTGTTGAAATTCCACATAATATCCAATGTTTCTTACAATTAGGAGAAAACTTTGCTCTCCCTTGCAATAAAAAAAGTAAAATTATATTTGAATGCATAAAAAGTATAGAGAGTATACTGTATAGTACTCTTAAGATGCCTATAAACAGAAGAACTGAAATAACTAATCACTCAATTCCTATATACTGTTAAATTTTTAACAACTCATCCTAACATCATTTTTACACATGCTGATAAGGAAAACGTCACAGTAGCCATGGATAAAGATAAATATATTTCCAAAATGATCGCATTATTAAGTGATAATGACACATACAAAATTATAAACAAAGATCCTATTAAAAAACTTACGTCATCCTTGAGAGTTATGCTTACTGGATGGAAGAAAAAGGAATATATATTAACATGTCGAAATATATGATGTTATATTGTAGTGATGGATCTCTCCCGAGAGCTTAGCCGAAAGCAAATCCGAGAGGATTGCCAAAAATTCACAAACCTGATTGTCCTTTTAGAATCATTGTGTTTTCAGTGGGCAGTCCTTTACATTTTTTAGCTTCTTTTTTAAATAACATTCTTTTTAAGACCATTCCAAAAGCCAATAGTTACATTAAAAATAGTTTTCAACTAGTTGACAAATTAAGAATAATAAGAACTTCTTCAGAATATGAACTAATTTCGTTAGATGTAATATCTCTTTTCACAAACGTACCAACAGACATGGCCATAGATTGTGTCAATGAACATTGGAATTTTGTTTCTAAGGACTGTCCTCTGCCAAAGAAGGAATTATTGGAAGCAAATTAGATTCATTTTAGATTCTTCTTATTTCATATTTGATTACAAAATATTTAAACAATGTTTCGGCACACCCATGGGCTTCCCGTTATCACCTATCATTGCAGATCTAGTAATGAGAAGACTTGAAACGGTATCCTTGATGACATGCAATATTGATGTTTTGTTTTATTTTAGATACGTAGATGATATCTGTACTGCAGTTTCACCTGAAAAAATAGATTCTTTACTTCAGATTTTTAATTCTTTCCATCCACGGCTTCAATTTACACTAGAAATTGAAGGTAACAAATTAGAATTTTTAGATACTATTATTTTAAAAAGTAACAATAAATTTACATTTGATTGGTACCGTAAGCCCATCTTTTCAGGGAGGTTTTTAAATTTTCTTTATTAACTTTATATAACTTATTTTTTAAGTTAAAAATTTTTTTTGTCTTTTAAATATCTTAGAAAAATAATAAGATATAAGATATAAGACTAACCCCCGTATTCATAGTCAGACCTTATACTTAAGTTCCTTAAATTTATCTTTAGATACTCAGTAACCAATAAAATAATTCGTAGATCATCTGAAGATAAATTTAAGGAAGCCTTAAGTTAAGGTCTGACTATGAATACGGGGGTAAGGTCGGAATCCATAGTTCGAACATAGTCTAAATTTCAAGGAATATCTGAAGATGCTAATACAGCCCTCTAATTGGCTTATGCGGTTATGTACGTCTTATGTTATAAACCTTAGTCCGGATCTACAATAAGTATTTTAAGCCTTATGTAATAAGAAATTGAGTAATTACAATCAAATATTTTTCTCGTATTCGAATTTAATTGATCAATTTCTTATGGCTTAAGACTTACTAAAAAGTAAACCTAATAATCTATATTGTAGTTATTTAATCTCATTTTAAGAAAAATTAGGACATTTTGATCTAAAAAATAATTTTTTTCGAAATTAACTTTTTTTTCAACTTGGGTTAATTCAATATTGACTTAACTTACGTTAAGTTAATTTTTTATTCCTTCAACTTTTAACTTAACTTTATTAATTTTGTAAAGTCATTAACTTTAACTTTATTCAGTT